TACACAATCTATTGTAACTTGTTCTTACCAGTACTGACAGTTAATCCTAGACCCAATATCCAAAGAAAAAGAAAAAGAAAATATTCCATTATTACTTGGTTTAAATAAAAATATTCATTATATACATACCTGTTAATGGACCAACACTTCCAATCAACATTATAAATAATCTGGACCAACTGTAGAGTAATGTCTGTGAACAATTATCACAAAACTAAAACATGGATGGCTGTCAGTTGGTGGCAGAGTTCTTGCTTTCATAATAAATATAAAATCAATTTCCTGCTCTAGTTCCTATTCCAAGTTGAAAATGATATATCTGACTATGAATTCCAACTACCTTCACCCACACTTTTATTCCTTTTTTTTCTTTAAGAAGGTAGGAGAAGAAAAGAAAGGCAAAACTTATGAGACCATCTAAGTCAATTCTTCCTCACTTGAGGGCACTTGGATATAAAGAGAAGATGCACATAAAAGCTTGCGATTTCACTTATACATAAAGGTTTATATTTTTAATGTAGTGATATTCCCCATCAAATACCATTCAAATACTTCAAAGGTCCTTCCCAATTATTCCTCTACAAATTCTTATTTGCACACTTAGTACACCTAAAAGCCTCTAAAAACCTTTTGTTTAAATAACAATATGCAATTTCAGAAGCTTTTTGCTCCCATTTCAATCAAGAAAAACTTCCTATGTTTTAAATGAAATTTTGCAAGTAATCAGAGACTAATGAAGATTCATTGACTTAACTAGTTCAGGGACTCTGACAAGGGAATGAGAATTTAAAGTAACCAAGTATTTCACTTAGATAAGCAGCTAATGTGTAGGTACAGTTAAGTCCTCTTCACAAAGAAATGTAATCAGGACTTTTGTCTCAGGAGACTCTCATCCTCCTCTGTGTGTGCACATTCCTAACTCCCATTAACATTAACGGGCACCACACATGCACACCGAGGAGATGCCAGCCTCGGGAGTGTGCATGCATGGCAGCTGTGGTGGCTAAATAATCCATATGGCTGCAAAGAGAAGTTATGGTTTATTGGGTCGAGAGTCACAGCAATAGTGGTGGAATCCAGATATCTTCTCCATCTATCCATACCCAGGGAGCATAATTAGACCAGGGTTTTGCAATTCTTAGTAACAGTTTATGCAGGTAGAAGTTCCATGTTTCAGGAAACCTTAATCTATTCATAGGCCCAAAGTTGTTCTATCCTTCTCTTCCCACACAGTCCTCCTAGTATTAATTCACACATTTTCACACAAAATATAGAAGAATCACAACAAAACTTTCCAGAGAGAAATTCAAAGGCCTATCTTAAACCACAAGAGAAGCAAAATCAAAATCCAGTATAAAACTCCAACTTCAACGACAAAAATCAAATTATAGGGCAATCTTACATATCAGATATGTATTGAAACAAATTCCACAGGTTGTATAAAGGGCAGTTTAACTACTAATTCTAATGGCTCCAACTTCCATGGAGTCAAATCAGAATCTTAATGTTCATTTAACAATTTTCTGAAGCCAAATTCAACTTCTTCCTGCCTTTTCTAGAGAAGAAAATATCCTTGTGAAGTTCAGTTTAGTGACAATATTGGCACAAAAGCATTCTGAAAAGAAGTAAATGGTAAGTTTACTAGTCATGTTGCTAAAATTATGTATTAAGAAAACTTTATATATGGATTTCCAATTAAGTCAATTAACATTCAGAAAAATTCTGTAACATTTAAATAATCATAGGAGAGAAAGAAGAATCCACTAATGTTCTAGAAGCTTCTCTAGACCTTTCAATCAATTTTATTTATATGCAAAACCAAGAGAAACTAAGGAGAAAAAAAGAAAAAAAAAAAAAAAAACAAAGCTCCTCCTGATGCTAAAGCTCTCAATTTACTGACAGGCAAATGGCTTCATGCTGCCACTTAATCTCATTTCTTGCATAATGCCCTCTAATTAGCATATCAAAGTGAATTAATACTTCTAGGGCATTAGCAATGGGGAAATCTGCTCGAGGCTCACAATAGCAGTTAAGAGAGAGCCAAGAAATCCTCAAAAACACCACAAACCACTTTGCATTGCAAAACTGTTCAATTTATTTATCCTCTCTCTCTAAACACTTTTACCGCACACTGTTTTACTACTGTTCACCAAACAAAATGATCATTGCCAAAGTTACCAGCATCTGTAATGCCTGTTTAGAATCTTAATTTAGATTATGTTGCAGATAATTTCTATATACAACCATTTGTTCTATTATAAATGTTAATATAGAGACAGTGAAAATGTTGACACTCTCTATTAGTTAATTTGAATCTGAAATAAAATTTTATGGGATTTTAAAATTTATGAATTTCTTAATGTAAAAAGCCACCTGCTGGACTCTGATGCCTAAGAAATATATTTGAAAACTTATGTATCACATAAGACAAAATGAAACAAAAAATCATTTTGCCACAACATATGTTGAGTCTCCCAAATAATGGTTTAAACATTGTGAGGAATCATCAGCATTAAAAGGATTACATTGTATAGCAAGTCCTCATTGATATGATCACACAGAAAAGGGTTATTCAAAACAGCTTAATATTTTTAAAGCACTTAAATGGAAAGAAAATAAGAAATGCAAAACTTTTAACAATTATTTTACCCATAATTACTTTTACTTACTTTCAGTATTAATCAGTTACTATCATGTAGATATACAGTCTAAAGTAAACAAATGCTATGCCAATTATTGATTTAACACATTCTATGACACCATCTATTTGCTAGATAAACACTCAAATGTAGGGCCAAAGGAAAATGGTTATCAGTAAAAACTACAAACATTTTGTGCAATGTCTATTGAAAAATGATAATAAAGGGCTGTAATTTTGCCTACAAAGAGGATAATTAAGATCAAATGTTAAAGATTAATGAAATTTATTTCTAATATGTTGTGTCTAAAGGCATAAAAAGAAATTGTTCTCAGTACCTCATTCTACCATTATTCATTTATTTGTTAAATATAACACTCACCTGAGAGCTTAGCTGTTTAACTTTTATCACTTTGTAAAAAAAAAATCTGATAAATCTAAAAAATTGACCAATTTATGCTACAGAATGATGTACATTATTTACTCTCTTCATACTTAGAGACTCAAATGGCCTACTGAAGAAGAGTAAATGCTTGAAAAGGTCAGCGTGAAGGGGGTGTGCAAGCTTTGTTAGTCAGTTACTATCTAAATCATGCTGATCACACTGATAAATGGCTAAAACACAAGCCTGCTGAGAAAACAAATAAAACATTATTCTCATAGTGTCAATATTGAAATAATAAATACCTAAAGATGTTCACACATTTTTTGAATGGGAGGAAATAGTCAAATTCTTACTTAACCTGATGTTAATAGTACTAATATGATGCATATTTCTTCTGAATAGGTACCTCATGGTATGAGTGTAAAATAAAGTGATAACTGACTTAAGGTGTGGGTCATGCAATGTAGTTTCAATTCTTACAGCGCAACTTCACTCAATTTAACTTCACCCTATATTATGCCTCAATAACATATCAAAATACAAACAGTCCAAATAAGATATAGATTTAAATTTTGCCTTGGAAGTAGCCTTTTATAAAATTTCCAAGTTGAAATCTAAAAGTACAGACGAAATTAATTAAAAGAAAAACTATAACAGTATGAAAAATATACACAGATGTATTTTATGAAAGCTGATGAACCAGTGTATCTTTGGGACACATTAGGGCCTCTTGTCAATGTATTAATATACTTCTGATTCAGAATAAAATTATGAAAATATAGTAAAGTCCCAAATAAATACCCAAACTACACAAATGTGTGATAAAATAAGGTACACTAAAACCGAGACACAAAAGAAGGACTTGCACAGATCAAGTTAGTATCGACAAGAGGGTTCAATATATTTTTATTGGGATTGAAAAAAAAAAAAAAAAAAAAACATGGTAGAAAGCAGTCCTGCATTTTAAACATGTCTATATGATACTTAAGATCATGAAGTTCTAAACCAGCTTGGCAGTAGTATTTTTTTTTTCAGGTTTTCTTTACAAATATATCACATGCATTATTTTGTAAAGATGGGAGAAGAATAAATGTAGTTAGAAAAAAGCATTCTTTTACATCCTCCAAACTTTCTACAAAAGGTCTAGTAAGGTATACAAATCTATAAAAATTGAAGAATAATGACAAAATATTCCTAAATTGCTTTATAAAAAATATATCAATAAAGCAATACAATTTATGACATTTCCAAAAAAAACACTATACTTTCTGGTTTCATCATTTAATATTTCCGATGTAAACAGGCCATAATGTCGATCTAAAATTGCTATACAGTTTTAAATGTTAAATAAAGGTCCATTAAAATTTGCTTTAAAATATCTCTGGGAGGATCAGAGAAAACAAGATTAGCCAATTGTTGCTAATTGTTGAAAGTAGGCAATGAGGTTCTTGGGGGGGTGTTCAAGATTATCTTGAATATCAAGATACATATATGCTTGAAGTTGTCCACAATAAAAAGTTTTTGAAAACTAGAAAATCAGTTCATTAAAACACAAAAATGAAGCATATAAGAGACATGTATTTGTTTTTAAAACTTTGGAACAATGATGATAGTTATATTGGAAATAGTGTAAAAACTACGTAAAAGAATATTCACCATATACGATAAACACTTAAAAGTCTATAACACTTTTTATCTTTCTTGCTATATTTTCACTTGATGGAAGATTTGTTTTTTTACACTGAAAATTAAAAGAATTTCAAAGCACTGTAGAAAGACAAATATAACAATTTTTTACAATGAACCTTAAAAACAGAAAACAGATCAAAAGAAGCCTCCAGTGAGTCTCTAAACCTACTGTATCAGAATTAAACAAAAAGGTGTTGACTGAGAATACTGCACTGTCCTTTTGAGAGCTAGTCACACAGCAATAAAGATAAAAGGTTTAATCTCACATCATATAATAAATGCATATAAAAACTCACTTGCAAGCTCCATTCTTGATCTAGTTTTGATGTCTAAAATTCTTATGACTTTTTCTAGGAAGGGTTCCTTTAAAAGTAAAGCATTTTTTAATAGTCATCTTCTTCTTCTCCTTAAACATAAAAAATACTTCAACCAGCCCAACCAGCCAAGCAGGCCTTTCTCTTCCCCTGCGGACACCTCCTGCAGTAGAGAAGTTCATTAAGTTTTATGATCTTCCCAAGTCAGTCCTGCTTATAAGCCTCACAAAGGCTACAAATCTGGCAAACCATCATGTATGCCATTAGACATTACTAGTAAATGAACGCTATTTAGAGTTTGTGGTGGCAATAAATCAGAGTTTGGTTGGCAGCTATCAACAAGGAATATTTTAATCTAATGCTGAAGTAGAAAAAGGTTGTGTTGACTTAATACACAGTATTTTATCAAAATAATATGATTTAGATTATATACTAAAATACTAGGTTGCATTAACAAATTTTTTTTTTCTGGAAAAAACTATTTTCTTTACCAAGCTCTGATAATTAAAAGTTTTGGAAAGAAAAGATGTGTGAGAGTGAACTATTTCACAAAGGAAAGTAAAAGTACTTCAACAATCAAGATTAAGGTAGCAAAAAAGAGGTGAGGATTAAAGGAAGTGTGCAGATGTAGTGGCAGCAGGGATATGTGATGAGAGATATGTGGTAAAGTTTTTAAAAAATAGGGAGCAAAGTCCTAACATATCAATAATTATTGTACTGGTTGCTAAGTTTAAAATAGATAAATATCTTAAATTTAAAGACTGTAACTTTTCAGTTACTTTCAAAACTGCAAAAATATCATAATTCAACAATGAGCAATGTTTCAGGCCCCAAATAATTACATGATTAAATTTTATAAAAGGATACATTTTCAAGAAAAAGCATCTTACAGTATACTTTCCTTACATCTAAACAAGGAAGTAACATAATGGTAGATTACTCATTTATCTGTCCAAAGGAAAAAAATACCTTTTTATATTTGGTAGTGGGAAGGGGAGATTTTTCCCAAAATAAATCCCTCATATGCATCAGAACTGGCAGGGTTCATTGCCAGATCAGAAACCTCAAAATCTACTGACAGATCTACAAATACATGAAGTTTTCTGATTTTATTTTAAAAAATAAGGACTGAAATGACATTATCCACTGAAGTGACAGTCCCCCCCACCCTCTACTCCTCAACATCCCACCCTCTATTATGCAGAATAGAGTCATCATATATTGTCCCTGGTTTTCATTCACAAATGACTAAAGTTTCTCTAGATTTTAAAGAATTAACCTTAGGATGCTATATTATTAAATTAAATTAAATGATTTAAAGAAAAAGCATTATATAATATGCATGTATTCTACAGTATTTATTTTAAGGAAGTAAAGTACTTATTATATGGAAGCAATAGGGGTAGCCCCTGGAATTTGCTGTGCCCCCTCCTTCTTTGCTTTGGTAATACTAAATCCACACAGCTGCTTTATTTCATCAATTTGCAGATCCTGAGTTTGGCGACCCTGTCTCCTTCTAGGGCTAGTTTTGGAGAGTGAGGTGGAGCTATGGGTAGTAGGATAGAAAGGAGAGGAAAGAGCTTCACCCCCATCAATCACTCAGTACTTAAATCCCATCCCTCTCAAGCTTAGAGAGGCTGGCAGGAAGATGCCTCTGCCCAGACAGTCGCCTTTACTCTTTGTCCGCTGTTGGCTTTTTACAAAAGAGATAATGTGCGAACTTGGATCCACTGGCCAAAGCACAAAAAGAGGATCTAATTTACAAGTTATCACTGAAAGCCCAAGAAACAATTTCCAAAACACAGAATTTTTTTTTTGTCAGCTACCTCTTGCTTCTTAAATAGCAACATTCCTACCAAGCTCTCTCTGCCAATAATCCCAGACTCTGAAAAGACTTTTACCCCATTGTAACTCACTTTTGACTTGTGGTTGAATATACTTTCCTTTCAGAATGGTGTTAACTAAGTCCTGTGCTAGTAAGCAACTAGGGAACTTAAGCTTCCTAATTGAATTCTGCCTGATGCTAAATGTCTAAACATGAAAAGCAGTTTTGCAGGGTTTGGTTCTTAAGCTAAGTAGGCCAAAACTTTGAAAAGGGGGTTAAAAAGAAAAATATAAATCACAAGAAGAGGGCAAAAGGAGAGACGTATCAATCCCCTCTCTCTGTAGTATATGTGGTATAAAGTTGAATCAATCTTAATATTCACAGCATAGTCAATACTCCAGTGCTTAGCTGTCAGCAGAAACTGAAGTGGAGACCTGATAGCAGGAAAACCCTTGGACATTTAGCAATTTACTGAGAAGTATACATTTTCAGGCTTCTACTAAGAATCTTCAATGATTTAATGGTGGATGCCTTATTGTATAGTCAGATAAATATTATCCACCATTTTATATCAGTGCTTTCTAAAAAGTAGCTAAGTATCACAGAATAAAAGTTAGTAATTTTAAATGCTTGTGGTTTTAAAACATAAAACATCTTAGAATCACTCAATAAGAAACCATATATGTCAGTGAGAAATAGGAAAAGTACTCTAGGTTCCCAGTATTTACTGGTAATTATGGTTTAATATACATATTTAATAGATAACAATAACCCATTATCTTTTCTTGATTACATTTAGAATCAGAATAGTTCTGCAGAGCAAAAAAAAAAAACTTTAAAAGGACACCTTACCTTTAACCTAACAATTATACACAATGTATTATACTCGTACACTCAATTTAAACACAATCACACTTAACCTCTTACACATCACTTAGATATTTCCATACCCTGAAATTTCACTTTTTCTCCTTTGCCTCAACATAAAAATTGGCAACTTTAAAATACCATATATCCAAAGCATACCCGAAAAAAAAAAATAGAAAAGAAAAATCAATCAACTATAAAGCTTATTTAATGCACTTGTTTGCCATATACAGGGAGAGAAATGCCAAATACGAACTAAAACATCTAAATTATAACTCCACTTCTACTTGACCCAATCACCTCAAGACTAAACATCTTCAATTAAGAAAGTCTGATAAGAAAGTTGGACTGAAACGAATTGCCAAAAATTTGCCTAATATGTACCTGTGGTTTTCATTCCAACGCTTCTCTCATGTGTTCCCTGTTTTGGACACTTTAATATCATTTAACCTGCATCTGTGGACCATTCTCTATATATTAAGCATAGTTAAAGTGTAATGACTTCAAGATACAAAATTTAATAAAAGTATTAACAGATGCAATAGTATACAGTACATATGCCTAAACATTATTATCTTTCTTCGATTCTTAAAAGTAGTCTTCTCACCTAAAACAATTCAAACAAGATACTGAGGTCTGTTCACTGCATCTATTCTATCTCAGGAGCTGAACCTAAACGTTATCTAAATAAAGGAAAGTTCAGATGATGCTTCGCCAGGGGCCGGGCCCCAGGCACTCAGTCTCCCCCTGCTCATTTTAAAAACTGACATGAAAACAAGGCAAAACGAGAGGAGAGAGGGTGTCTGGTGCTCAGGGCCCCCTCCTCGCCTGCAGCCAGGGGCAGCAGCCTAGAGACGGCGACCCAGCCCAGTCCGCACCTACACTTCATTTTGCACTAGGAGCGGAATCAAGAAATCGACTCCAGATTTATTGCAGGTTTTTTCTTAAGATCGGGAGGTGGGAAGGAGAGAATGATCAAAGATGGCGGTGCCCAAAAGCAGCAGCTCTCAACTGGAGAGTCGAAGGAGTAGCTCCAACCCCACCTCGGGGGGCTCCAGGCCCACAGCGAGGCGCAGCGACTTACCTGTTTTCTCTTTGATCTCACACAGGACGCTGAAGAGCGCAGGTTTCATTCTGTGACAGTTCAGGGCATGTTTTCTAAAAAAAGAAAAAAGAAAACACAAATAGCAAAACACAAAGGTATTAGCATCACCTATGGAATAATATGGCGCCTTCCTTTAAGTTAGACCCCAGATTTCATTCGGCCACCTATTTCAGAAGGCTCTTTTGAACCACGGGAAGTCACAAAAACTCAAGTTGACTAGTTCGCGGCAGTCGGCAAGCTCCAGCGGCAAGAGCTCCAGCCGGGACGAAGCGCGCGCGACCCTTCTGCCCGCCAGGCAGAACCTCGGCGACCACGGGGGGCGAACCCGCGCGGGGAGCCCAGCTCTAGGGGCAGTGGCCGCCACCCAGGGGAGCGGACGGGTGCGGCGGGGCTCTGCGTCCTCCCTCCGCAAGGCGAGCGGCGCTGCGTGGCCGGCCGGCCCACCGCGGCCAGGCGACGGTGACAGCTCCGCAAACTTTGCAGGGCAACCCTGCGGCCCCGCGAACTTGGCCACCCGCACCGTGCCCTCCAGGGAGCCGCCTGGCCATGCTCGAGCCAGGGCGGCCGCCCGCACCGCGAGGTCGTCCCGCCGCCCAGGGTAGCGGGCGCCGGGATTCCGGGCAGCGGAGAAAGTTGCACTTCCCAGCAGCGCGGCCCGGGGCCGAGTCGGGGCGGCGCGCGCGGGGTCCAGGCGGGAGGTTCAAATCCGGGGAAGGGGACCGGGCTGCCAGAAGGCCGGACACCGGGGGAAAGGGGACCACGAAATCCGCGCGGCACCAAGCCCGTCCCAAGCCCCGAGAGCAACTTTCCCGCCCCCGCCGGGGGCGGGGGGCCGCCGACAAGTCCCCCAGAGGCCGAGGCGGGCGGACAGTCTTCAAAGAAAGTTCCCCGCCGGGGCCTTTAGCCCCTGCCCCGGGCGCCACCCCGGGCCCCGCCTCGGCCGCGGGCCCGGCTCCCGCACACACACAAAAGATGCTTAATGAGACGACACCAACTTTGCTTGCGCCTCGTCCAAGCTCTGGTCGGTGATGGTCATGATCTGGTGGAGGATGTCGCCGATGTCCTGCTTCCTGCCGTCGCCGTCCGCCCCTTCGTGGCCGTGCGGGGGAGGCGGCAGGGCCATGCCCCCCTGCACCGAGTGGCCGGCTAGGTTCACCCCGGCCAGAGTCTGCAGCATCCTGGATTGATCGTCCATCCCGCCGCGCACGGGCGGGAGCGGGCGGCCGCGGCGGCGGAGGGG